TTATTATTATTATATATCTATTTTATTATGTTACGGATTTGAGATTTGTTGTGTAGCAAATCAAACTAAATTTGTTATAATTTGATATTTATTTTATTATTTAAGTACTAGATTATTGAGAAAAAAATATGTTGGAAGAAGTGCCCATAATAAATATACAATTTAAAAAAACAAATGTAGTGGGAAGGTCCACTAGTCCACCAACCTACCCTTAAGCAAGATGAGTCAAGATATCTAACTCATTTTTACTTGGTGGACCAATTCAATTCAGCCCATTTTTGGAGGCCAATAACGAGATTGATCAAAGCAAGCTAGGTTGACTCGTTTTGTCACCCCTAGCCTTAAGTTGGTTTACATAGATGTTCTACAATCATTAACTTTCTGATTGGTTCTCGTTCACTCAAGCTTTTGGAATTGCGTTTTGGATCTTCATTTTACGAAAATAACCAGGTTGAGTTGATTAAAATTAAAAAATTAGCTTTGTTGTTGATTACCAAATTGCTTTTGAACATCCATGTTATTGCACTTGTGGTTTACTAGTTGATGTTATTGCTAATTATTTTTTCTTAGGTTTAAAACAAGAAATACAAAATGAGTTAGTAGTTTTTCGACCATTCACTATTAGTCATGCTATTGGGTTGGGAAAACTGGAATCCAAGCTCAAGGACTCATGACCAAGATCCTATCATCCTCATTTTATTTTTGCACCAACACTTCCTCCATGTTCGTGCATACTAAAACTATACCTTATCCTCCAACTCTAGTTTGTCTATAAAGAAGCTTACCAAAGCTCAACTACAAAAATGTTATGCCCCCAGCTTGTGGTATAATTGTGATGAGAAATTTTATTGGGTTATCGTTGCTCCACTCCTAGATTTTTCCTTTTTTTTTATGAAAACATTCTTGATGCCCTCAATTGTTGCAACACGTTCTTTATACCCACCCAACCAAGAGGAAGCCATCCACATTCATTTATCTCCATAAGCACTCACTAAGTCTCCTTCAACTACTACCCACCCTTTATGACTCTTCTATTATGGTTTTGGTAGATACTGGCAGCTTATACAACATTATTCAGCTAAGGATTACTTCTCACCTTAAACTTCCCACCACTCCTACAACTCCATTTTCAACCATGGAGGGCAATGGTGAAAAATGTTTTTGCATGATAAAGTGCCCTTCAACTCCATTACAATACCAACATTATACTCTTATAGTACCCTTGTTTATAATTCTTATTGAAGGGATTGATTTGATTTTGAGAATTGTTTGGCTAAGCTCTCTAGGCCCACTTCAAGTCGATGTTGTTACTCTTAAAGTATCCTTTCAACACCACCATGATACTACTACCATTACAAGGTGATACAAAACAATCCCCATCTTTGACTTCTTTTTCCCAAATTTCTCAAATGTTACACAATGATACCATTGTTATTTTTCACCTCATTGAGTTTCATATGGATGACAAATCTTATCCTATTGACCACAACAATAATCCCTTTATTCCATAAATTTTAAATTCTTATCCATCCGTTTTTTTATCAACCTCATGGCTTACCACCACCACGCGACCATGACCACAATATTATTTTGCAACCTAACACACCCCAGTGAACATCAAACCTTACAAATACCCTCTACTTTCAAAAAGACACTATTAGTTGATCATTAAATAATTAAATAATTATTTAAAGTAATTAATTTGATTTAAAAATGTGTTACCTCTTTCAATAAATCCTTAATGTTTTCAATGATAATAATGAGCATGTACTTCATTACATAATAGCCACATTCACAAATATCCAATTGACATGGACACTATAATTTAGTGAATATAAAATATAAAAAAATCATAGTTAGATTATATTTTAATTCAACTATGAGTATTATTAGGTTGACAATTGACTTACTCTTTGGTCCTATATCGAAGCTTATTATGAGCTACTCGATGAAGCCCTGCAAGATCAAGCCAAAGACCTACGAAAATGAAATTGAAATAATCACTACATAAACTATCATGCACATGTGTGCATTTGAAAGAATCAAGCCCAACATCATAGATCATGTCCTCTAGTCAATCATCCATTTCTAAATTGACTTGTGGTTTTTTTTTTTTTGTGTTTTACGCACTTGTACGTGAGACATGTCTAACAATTCTTCATGTCATGTCCACATTGTATAACTTTTGACAAACCCATCATACAAAACATGTTCTCGTATAATGTTTACTCGTTGCCTTTACAAATTGAAACAATTCACATAAGGACAATAGAACCTTTCATTACTTCTATAACATTCCTTTGTGCAAACTGAAGAAACTCTTTCACTCCATTCTCATATTCAACAATTGTACGTAAATAATTCATCTAACTCCGATCTATTAGTGTGTTCGTCTGACATTTATCATATACAAGGTGTGACCCTACCCCAATTAGAAAGATAAATCTTTATAAATACACAAGATGAAAGTAGTTTTTAAGTTCACTACAACCAAGTATGCACACAGAGAACAACAAGAAATACAGTCAATCAAAATCTTATTAAATTTAAAATTATCAATAATTAAAGTATTTATTTAATTATTGCAAACTTTATTGAAATTAATTTTATAATTTAAATTTTTAACATTATTTAACAATTTAATTATTTTAAAATTGCCTAACAATTTGTGCATTTTAATTATTTTATTACATCTAGCATTCACTAAGTAATATTTTTCTATTTTTCTAATTTTTTTGAAAATAAATTTACTAAGTATAATAGAGCCTAAACAAGAGGTTGCTTTGGAACCCTTGGATCAATTAAACTAAATAAGCATCCAAACCTCAAACTTACATTAAACTAGCAAACTAAACTAACACCAAAGTACTGTAATATGCACCCAAGCCCGCCCACAAATAAGAAAATAAACTAGCACCCAAACCTCCTTATCAAACTTACAAACACTTGGCATACAACACAAAAAAAATCACACAGAAGAAAACTCAAACAAAGCAACATCACTAACAACACCAATTAGACCAACAATATCAAACAACCCCAAACATACATGAAATGCACGTAAAAGAGAATAGAACCAGAATGATGAACCTAGGAGTGTGAGAACAAATGAACAGTTGCGTGAACAAGAATGAAAAGGAGAAGTATGAGAACAAATGGAGAGTTTTACCAAAAATCAGCTCAATAGTGTATCAAAACTTGTCGTCAAAGTTGTCTCTGTCGCCTAAACGAAGAAGAAGATGAAATAGTGGAATGCAAATTGAATTTGCGCTCTTAGTATACATAATAAGAAATTTTATGGTAAGTGATGGTTTATCCGTCATAGAATATTTCTTTTTATGACGGGTAAGTCAATATCTCTCATAGAAAGGTTGACTAACACATTTTATGACAGACATTGACTTACCTGTTATAAAAAAAAATTTATGATGGATAAGTCAATACTCGTCATAAAATATTTTGACAAATTTATAAGTATGTCATTGCATCACTTTCTATATTGTGTAGATAACACTCGACATAAAAGTACGTTAAGAAATCATCTTTTTGTACTATTGTGTAAATCATTAAAAACAATTATATTTATATTTTTATACTATTAAATACATAAAATTTTAAATTATTTTATATATTATCGAATAATTTTAACTAAAAACAACTTGGTGGAATTTGATCCTTTTGTTCATCCATATTGATGCTCTTAGTAGGAAAATATCTACAATAACCAAAAAACTTTTAATTAAATGTATAATATACTTTAGAGTATTACAAATATTTATTGTAAAATATTATATATATATATATATATATATATATCAAACAAAGTATTTATTTATACTAAAAATAAAATAGAATGATTATTTCTATGTAATTGAGAAGAGTAAGAGTTTACTTACTTTAGAAATATTATTTTTAAAAATTTATTTATTTATACCCAAAAACCATGATTATTTCTAATGTACAAGAGTAAGAGTAAGAATTTACTTACTATAGGAATAATTTTTGTAATATTTACCTTATTTAATATCCTTTAATAAATATTAAATTTTACCAATTCAATTGTCAAATTGTAAATTTCATTAAATATATTAAATTTAAAATTTTATTAAATAATTTCATTTTAATACATAATATATTTTTAAATTTAAATAAAATTAAATTTATTTATAAAATTTATTTTATTTTAGATTTATAATTAGTTAAACTAGTATTAAAAAAACTTCCAAAATAAATAAATCCTTTTTTTTATATGTAGAGAGAGAAGTATTTTGAGTTGCATAATTTTTATCTTCTAAATTATATTCTTAGCCTTTTAGAATATTCGATTTAAAATTTTGGTCTTAATTATTAAATATGTCATTTTAATTTATAATTTTATAAAATTTATAATTTATTAAATTGTTAAATACATCTACCAACTTTTTAAATTTTAATGTTAATCATAACTAGATATTAAATAAATAATATTATAAATATTTTTTTAATAATATTTAAGTTATATTATAAATCTTAATCCTTATTCTTAACTTAATAATAATGATAAAAATAGCTTAAAAATAACGATTAAAAGTACAATTATAATATTTATTTTTACTCAAGTAATATTTTACATTTATCATGTAAAATATTAAAGTAAGGTTTTATATTTGATTAAAAACATTAAAAAACTACTGCACTTAATTTTTATTTATTTATTTATTCAAAAGTGTAAATACATTATATATAAAATATCACTTTAATTATTACGTAAAGTAATAAACTTATTATAGATAATAATATAATATATGTTTAAACGATAATGTAACTTTTTTAGATATCAGTATATTGTAATTAGTTTTTTTTATAATATAGTAATAAATTATATCGACAATAATTTTTTTTAGACAGTAATCTAATCATGGATCGTTGTTAAGATTAATAAATAAATAAAAACACTACAGAAATACATAATTTTTGTAATGTATAGTGTAGAATAGAACCATGTGAATACCAATAATGCGCCAATACCAAATATAATTGAGCAGTTACGAACATTCAAAATCCGTGGCTTCTCTGACCTCTCCGCCAATCTTCTTCACTACACTGAGTGAGGTCACGTTTTCTTCACCACCAAACCAATGAATCAAATTCGAATCCAAATTTGAACCTCCAAACCCTAGAATTCGCCATTTCAATTTCTTCGATGGCCACTGCGGCATTCAAATCCACCACCAAGAGAACCCCCGTCGGAGCTTCCTCCGCCGAGGACTCCGCCGCCTCCCTCCACCACCGCCGCTCGCGGAGCCTCAGCCGTCCCTCCCGCCCCTCCTTCCCCTCTCGCGGCGACGACGACCACCACCGCACTCCGAGAGGCCGCTTCGTCAACACCGTCCGCGGCTCCGTCTTCCCTGAGATCAGCCTCGATGATCTCGCCATCGAGTTCTTCGAGTCCGCCAATCGTGGCCGCTTAGGCTTCGGAACCTCCGAGTCCGAGGCCAGCGCCGGCGCCGGTGCCGCCGCGTCGCAGCGGCGAGGGAGGTCCGTTTCGAGGAAGAGCTCCGGCGTCGGCGATGACAGAAGGAGCAGTGTTGGCGGCGGCGGGGGAAGGTCGGTCTCCGATGCGAATTCGAGAAGGAGGAGATCGGTTTCGGTGGTTCGGTACCAAGTCAGCGATTCTGAGGTATTCCGATTAACGTCTTAGTTTGCTCTAGTTTGAATTTGATTTCAATATTTCGTTAGAAACTGAAGGTAATTAATAATTATCCGTTGAATACCTCTCTCCTTAGTAAGCCATTTACGTAGAGGATTTTAAGCTCTTAAGTGATTCTGTGTTGGTAATGTTAAAGTTCGGTGTGCGTTTTGAATCGTTTAGTTAGTTAGTTGTCAGGATAATTTTTTTCATAATATATTTGTTTTTCGTGGCTTAAATTTTAAGTTATTTGGGAAGTAAAGAGGAGAAGAGAATGAAAGGACTGAAAAATTAGCAATTTTCAAGTACATTTATTATGTTAGGACTCACCTCATTCCTAGCGTAATTTCCCCTCTTATTTAATTCCCAAACAAGGCGCTGATGATTACTTCTTTGTGCTGATGAAGTTTATGCATTCGTTTTATAATTTGTCATTAAGCTTTTTGGAAAGTGCGAAAGCCTTTTTTTGTTTTTTTTCGACAGTTGAAAAATGGATCTAGCTTCTTTCTGTTGTTGAATAATGGGAGGGGATCCTTTTACAGGAGAAAGACAATTTACTTTGAATGTAACTAGTGGACCATATAACCGATTATGGTAGGCCCTAGCATGACAAAATAATGCACTTTTGCTTTCCATGTAATTGCCATGTTCTTTAATCACAAAATCTTTGTGGCTAAGCCTGACATCTTTTTTTATGTATCAAGGAGATATATAACTCTTTCCTACCGGGTTGGCCCTTATAATGATAAAGTGGTATCTCTAACTACGACTCTATGTCCAAATCAAGGATCAAATCCTAGTCCTTGATTAAGAAGCATAAATGCCGCACCACTTAAGCTAACAGCTTTCGGTACTGAGTCTGTCATCTAATCTAATGGATTTGTCAACTTATGTTTTTAAATGTTTTACTTAAATATTTTATTTGATAATATTATTGTTCTGCTTTTTTTTTTTTTCATTTAAGTTTAATCCTTTAATAAATTCTGCACAAACTATGAGACTCAAGTTGTACCAAGTTTCTTTCGGTAATACTTGATTTTGGAATCAAATACCAACCAGGCTGCTTTGCTTGCAATTTAAAATTAAATTACCATCCCCTCCTCAATAGGGTGGTTGATCTCCAACTAAATTTGTTATGGTTCTCTTAAACTTGTTCGTTCCATTAAAATATATTATGTATTTATGCATGTCTTGCATGATACAGAGTGACCTGGATCATTCTCAGAATTCTAGAAGTCGTTCAAATCTGAAAAATACTGGTGTTGGGAATAAGCTAATGCACAAGCCGGTTGCTTCAGATCAAAGGCCAGTGCTGAGAAAGTCCCTAAGCCAGAAGGATTTGAGGTCATATGATGGCTACTCTGTAAGTGTGATAATTATCTGGATTATACTCGTTTGTCTCTTTTTTTGTGAAAGTCTGTAGCAGTAATTTTCCATTGAAATTATCCATAAATTGAAACTGGCATGCCATGTTTATGAGAGTGGAAGGGTAGCGTTGTCTATTGGTTGGATGTTACAAATAAAGACAGAGGGAGTTGACAGGTCTTTTGTAAAGTCAAAGCATAACTCTCACAAAAAATTAAGAACAGAAGATAACGGTTAAAAATTAGCTTACACTAGGGGTTGCTTGATATGAGAAAAACATTTTTTGCAATTAGTTTTACAGGAAACAGTAGAAACAGCTCCAAAGTTTGACAATCTTGTGAATTTTGTCCCCAAAGTTATTTTTGTGAATTTTGCATCCAAATTCATAAAATATTGCAAATTTTGCCCCCACGTAGAAAACTGTTTCATTTAAGACAAATTTGTGTAAGTTTATTCTTTCAACCTCCACAGCTTTCTTTGGGGCAAAATTTTGAGGAAAACAAATTGGGAGTAGAACTCACAAGATTGCGAAACTTAGGACAAAATGTGCAATTAAGCCAACAAAAATAGAACTAGAAAACAATAAGGTTTGTCACTTTTTCCTGTACAAGCTTTTGAGGACAGGAAGTAAAGTGAAAATGAGGTAGCATTTTTGTAATTTAAAGTCAAAATAGAAAATGAAAACAGAAAATAGCTTCTTAAACTAAACATCCATTTTCCTATCCATTCATTGCCAACCCCAAGAGGTACCTGATTTTGAGGGTATGGAAATTTTCTCATGACCATGCACAGAGAGGGATGGCCTCCCACTCCCTACCCATTCTATTACACCCTTGATAAAATCCAAACAATGGAATGAGTTTCTTTTGCAAATGGTCCAAATGTAGGCTTAGGAAACTTAGTAATATATTTTCTGTCTTGTTAATTTTATTCTTAAAATTTGTCATCACACATTTATATTTTAGAGAAATTTGAGATTGTTTCTGTCACTTTTCAGAGTCATTCTTCAGTTCTCACTGATGATGAAGGAGCAAGTGCTCGCTCTAATAAAAGTGGAATTGATAAACTACGAGCAGTTTATGCACAGAAGGTTGAAGAATTACAGTTGTGCAAGGAGCACTGCCTCAGTTTGATGAATTTTGCTTCTAATATTTTTCATGTTTTAAAAAATGTTCAGGTGTCACTTACTGACAAGGATAAAGGATTGCACAAAGCTAAGCAGAAAGAATTAAGGCATATGGAAACTGCGCAGGTATGTGAAATGTGAACTAGCTTTATATGTAAATCTGCTTGTTTGTATGTTCTCTGTCATGCTTAAGTGCTGTAATTGCATCATCTGCCTTGTTTGCTGAAAATTTTCCTACTTTTTTTTTTTTTTTTTTTTAATGAAATTCCCCCTTTTAGGCTGTGGTGAAACCAAGGAACTCCACTTCATCTTCCAGTGATTGCGTGCTAGCAAACAGTTCTGATGTTATTAAGGTTGTTTCTTCAATCAGAAGGAACTATGAAACTGAACTGGAACAGGTAAAAAACGTTAAAATAAAAAAATTTAAAAAAAATTCTTTCATACTATTATTACCGATGGCAATTTTTTTATGAAATGGTATGAAAGTCTGAGTTAGTATTTGCTGACTTTATAATAATGTTCTAATGCACCTCATTTCTAATTTTTTGTTTTTAGGATTTTTTTTTTGTGGGGGGGGGGGGGGGGGGAAAAGTGGTTTTTTTTTTTGGGGGGGGGGGGGGGGTGTGTAAAAGTTGCAGACTAGCCTAAGGAAGCCATTGGTTTTAATTTTCTAATTATACTTTTCGTTGGGAAATTCAACTATATGTGGGAGTCATTTACAAGAAAAGTTAAATTATTTCTAACCCTCTTCTTCAAGCAGGTTATGTTGACTCTTTGTTTAAACTCTGACAATGAATGAAAAAAATAATTTCCTTGCAGTTTTAACTATGCTATTGAAACTCCCACTTCTGTGAACTCTACAAACCAAACATCTTTGCTTTCTTGCTGATGGATGCCACAGTTCATTTATGAAATACTTATTTTTTTTATATGGATTTACCAAGTTGAAATATTAGATTCCTTTGCCTTTTGGCACTACATGGGGCCAGAGGTCCAACAAACAGAAGCAACTACATCAGGACACTCTGGAGTAGTATCCCTCATTGCGTCACTTGGGTAGTTAGGTTATGTTTAGATATCTATTGATGGGTGTAATGAAATGAAATGAAACATAATGGAGTCAAGTGGAATAAAGTTATCATTAATGGAAAAAAAAAAAGTTGTTCCACTTTCATACCATACTTCCCCTCCTCAATTAAAGAGGATGTAAACGAGAGATATTGGATGGATTCCATATCCATTTAACTAGTGTCATTCAATTCCATCTTATTTTAAGCCATCCAACGAATGAACCTAGTATTTCCATCACTTTCTGTCAATCCAAACATTGTAACATTCCATGAATGTCAAAAGGAAGATTAGGCCATTCTCATTGCATAACTCTTTGGATAACTGAAATATTCTGTTTGCTGGTAGAACTTATTTGAATCATGATTTTTTTTCTTTATGAAAATTACAGTCAGAGAAGCGAAAACAAGACTTATTAGCTGAAATGGTGTATGAGGAGCAGCGAGGCAGGGAACTTTCTAAGATCGTTAATGAATTGATTCCTGCTAAGGAGGGCAATCCTGTAAAAAATCTGCCAAGAGCCAGGAAGGTGCTTGTCACTATTGTTTTTCTATTTCTGATAATGATATCCTTCTAATATAAATTAAACAGTACTAGTCTTTCTTTGTGAATGATGAATTGTTTGTTTGGTTTTTTAAGCAGTGTTTTTCATTTACTTTATTTTATTTTATTGTCCAGAGAAGTAATGACAGAAGTCGAATGTCTATGTGCTTGACTGAGGAGGCTGAGAGATATATTGAGGATTTTATTTCAAATGTTGAAGATACGGATATTTCATCACTTGATGGTGAAAGGAGTGATGCAAGCTCAACCATTGGAGGACTAATAAAACCAGAAACATTTAGTAGTCCTCCAGTGCCTAGATCTCTTCCTGGTTTGACAGATGGGGTTACATTGCCATGGTTGCAATGGGAGACAAGTAATGATTCTTCTCCTCTGACAAACCTGAATAAGGCACATATGACAACCACTCCAAAAACTGCAAGTTCTACTCAGGTTATCACTATTCTGTCAAATTATTTTCAAATAAAATGCGTTTGAGTTCAAATAATTTATTTGTGAAGTACCATGACCAAATAAATAATAATAGGAGAAAAATGTTTAGTCCATATACTTTCTGTCAAATGTGGTTAAGGTCATATTGATGAATTTGGTTCTCAAGATTTAAAAAAAAATGTGGATTTAGTCTCTCCTCTCAAAGAATTCATCATGTTTTTTAAAGTTTGATGACAAAATTTATTAATATAAAAGTACAATGACTTTGACCACATTTGACCAATAGGGACTAAAATCACATTTGTAACATAATAATATAATTGTGTCTTGACATTTGACTTTAATGTATTTGACAAGCTCACTTTCATTTACTTCTAAGAGCATAAGTCTTGGAAAATTGGTATGATTCATTTAATCATCGTCATTTTCTGTGGACATTTGTCCACATACATTGCATAATCAGGAGTTTTTGAATAGCAAGATTAAATTCCAGGGATAGTACACAGACATTATACTAATTTGTCATTGATATGGAAAATTCCCGCACTCTGCCAACAATTGTTGACCCATATTTTCTGATATGTAGTTCTTATTTTCTCCTTTTTTGACTTGGATTATTGAAATTCATTCATGTTATAGGAAATCATCAGTGTACAAGATCAAAGTAACAGTTCTATCAGCAGTCGTGGAAGCTGGAGCCCTGATTACCTTCAGGAGTATGTTGGGAAGGATGTATACAGTAAATTTGGAGAAGGTTATGGTTACCCGTTATCAGCTAAATCCAAAGGATTGAGGTATGATATGGATGATTACCTCAAAGTTAAAAGCAATGAAGATTTGTTAATTGAGAGTTGGAAGCAACGGCGGAGAATTAATTCAGGCAGTCTCCTATTGTGTAGCCTAAGATTATATTAGACATGATCTGTTTTTGAAGAATGGCCATTCCTCCTTCTACCCTGGTATGAATTCTATGTATATATTATTGCAATTCATCTAATTATGTTTCCATATATAAGGTTTTTATTTATTTTTATTTTTAAATAAACGATAACATTGCATAATGTGCAGAAGCCTTCTTTTTTGGGATTAAAGTATGTTGCATAATTTATTTATGGTTAAATTATTCACTTGGTTTTTACAGTCATTCTCTTTTTAAGTTCTAGTCTCTATACGACTATATGAGAAAGTTGTATATTTAATCCTTACACATGCATAAAGATATAAGTTTTGATCTTCAACGTTGACACCAGAAATTTTTTTATTGCGGTATAAAACTGCTACAAAATCTTTCTGACTGTGATAAAACACCATAAAAAATTGTCTGGGGACTAAAACTTAAAACAGACAAGTATAGCTACTAAATGAATAGTTTAAACTTTATTTATTTATTCCTAAAATAGTCTATACCAAGGTTGTCAAACTCGAGAGTCTACACAAACTCGTGGAGCTCTGGTAGACTCGACTCGTAGACTCGTAAGAGTCTACCTAATATTAAAATATATTAAAAAACATGAACGCACACAATATGATATCACTATTTCAACATTCTAAGTCTAAAATAAGTCAAATAACAACAATAAAATGTCATAATACAAATCTTAACCATACATAAACAACCAAAAGTCGAAAACACATAAGTCCACAAATCAAAAACATAAAACAAGATCTAAATTAATCAATCAAAGTCCAATCCTCCAACAAATGCATGTGCATCATCATCATCTTCATTTTCTTCAAGCTCATCCTCTTCATCTGATGATAAGGGTTCTTCAATATTCACATCATCAAAGACCAAATCCTCAAGGTCATTTAAAGTTGGATTGGTTGAATCTCCAACTAGTTCAACATTTCCACCATCATCCACATTTTCATTTTCATCCCTAAGTGGTGGTTGGACATCCTCTCCATTAAAAATAGCATCTCCTTCCTCAGTTATCCACTCATCATCAGAATGAAGTTCATCAAAAGGAATAACAAGATTTCTTTTCACTTGTTTACTCTTTAGCTTCAAGTTATACATCACATAAACCAAATCATTCATCTTCCTTTGGTGCAAGCGATTTCTTCTCTTTGTATGAACCTAGAAAATAGAACACAAAAACCAAAATTTCAAGATTACCTATAAGGCTAAAACTCTAATTTCTAAACATTAAAAATTAACAACTAAAAACAAAGACATTAATTCAATTACCATTTCAAATGAACTCCAGTTACGCTCACATCCAGAAGAGCTACAAGTTAAGCTTAGTACACGGATTGCAAACTTCTTTAACTCTGGACATCCATCCCCATAGAAGTCCCACCATTCTGCAGGAAGCATAATCTTCCTACTAGCCACTGCAGTATCAAGACCAAACAACCCTCTAGCATAATGAAATTCAGCAAGTTGCGTACCAATCTTGCTCCTCTCATTCAAGTCACTCACCAACCTTGTCATACAATTGTATAACCCTTGTTTAACCTCAACATCATCATCTCTAAAATTAGGGTCATAATGGAAATGGGGATTGAGGTAATATGCAGCTGCATGTAAGGGTCTATGGAGTTGTTTATCCCACCTTTCATCAATAATATTCCATACAGGTTCATAACTATAAATATGAAATAAATGCAAGTTAGGAATATTGCCATTATCATATACTAGAAACATCAGTACATAACTATACTAATTTACTAAATAAGATCATTAAATTTCAATAGAAATATAGTTTAGAACTAAGAAAAGTTTACCTTTTCTTAACATTGCCGAAGTTGATTTTTATCTTTTCCTTGGCACAATCCATCCCATCATATATAAAACCCATGGCAGGTTTTTCATCAGAATCCTATACTATGTAGATAATGCTATTTCCGCAGCATACTGCATGAGTCTTTATACCAATGTTTAGTAGAAGAAAATTTAAATTAAATATCCGGATATGCCTATTTGTGAGCTTTGACTGTGTAAATTACATTGCTCGTTAAAACTTAACTTCAAACTGGTCTATTCTTTACTTATTAGAAACACATTTATAGATTAACTATTCACACTTTTAAACATAATAGTAATTCGAAAGAGTTTATGCAAAACTAGTTTTGTTTAGGGAGGACAAAATATTGGCTTCAGTCGTGCTTGTGTCGGTCTTTTGTTGTAAGTAATGTTACATAGAAGAATGTTAGCAACACATAATTAAAAAAAAAGTTATTGGTTGAAATTTATTAGAAACTATAATACTGTGCGGGTCTACCTTTTAATTAATGAGTTCTAAACATGATTTTGCAGTTAATGATAAATTTTAATTAATAAAAGTGTTGTAAAGAAAAATATTAGAGTTTGTTGCTAGTGTTGTTGGTTATTATTTGATGCTTGACATATCATTCCCTTGAACATGACAACTTTCCCTTCTCTAAATTTTGATTCACAAAAAAAGTTAAACTTTAGATAGTGATAAGAGCCACACCACAAAAGCTGGCTATTGTAGTTAGAGAGCCTAAGGCCTTATAAATCCTACACAAGAATCCACACTTCTTAAGTAGGACTCGAATCTCGTATCTTGCAGTTGGATTCTAACATTCCACCAGGCTCTCCACCTCCTGCACCCGTGCAGACTGCTGGCATCACCACCTGTACCGCTCATTTGCGGCTAGGAGACATGGTGGAAGGGTTTGATAGCCAAGGCATTATTAAACTCCACACTAGAATCCCATGCTTCTAATGTGGGGACTTAAGTCCCATACAAACAGATCCAAACATCCCACCACGCTCTGCAACTCCAGTACCCATGTGGGCTAACTGAGCATGCACGAGCCCCTTTGACTAGTCCCGGTAGAACACTGCAATACTCATGTCACTACCTGCGTCGTTGATTTGCAGCTGGGAGGCTGTGATACCAATTGATAAGAATTTTGGGAGAATCACATCACAAAAGTTAGCTATTGTAGTCAGAGTCCAAGGCCTTATAAACTTCACACTAGAATTCCATACTTCAAATGTTCAAGTCTGATACCTTGCACTTGGATCCTAACATATAGTTTTGACGCCACTTTTTTTATTATTATTATTTTTATTTTTTTTATCAGTGTTTTGACTTTTGAGTATCCTTTTTAAAACTTGACACGTCATATTAATACTTGAAATCACTAATTCTAGTTCGCCAAATCTTTTTAATTCCTGATAGTACTAAAAAAAATAATTTCTAACTTTGTCAGTGAATCTGATCTCAAAATTATGAAATGAAATAATTTTTTTATTTGTTTAGTTAATCTGCCGGTAAGTTGTTGGTCCCCAATTAATATTGTTCTTTTTCTCTGTATTTTGTTGCAGTTACTCAAGGTTTGAGTTCAAGCTTTCTGGAGCGCAATGTCAGAAATCAAAGTTACGCAAGGCGAACGACCCAGAACAAAAGAAAAATTAAATTTGCTTAAGACAAGACAAACGACCCAGAGGAACACAAGGCTAGAAATGGAAGTTACATTTTGTTGCAATTTTATTTCCCATCTAGACTGGAGGGTAAGAATTTCAGCTGAGGCCATGGAAATTTCCCATTATCATTCCCTATTTCACCTCCATTTTTAACCGCAAACAAACGGAGTGTTGAAAAAAGTTAGATGTATATTTAATCCTTGGAAAAGCTTTCTAATGCAAAGCACTATATAGTATATATTGTAGATTTAGGTGTTTGGAACCAATTTGTGATCATCACAACTCCTTTCGAAAGTGTTTAGTTATATGTTTAGTTGATTGGCTTATTCCCTCTTCATCGTTTATTTACGAAAGTGTTTCCACCCTGAAAGAAGGGTGAAGATGCATTGGAGTTACGGGTGTTGGTTGGTTTGGGTTATCCAATCTAATAATAATTCAATATGTAACACCACCCCCAAGATTTTCACTAATAATTAATAATATTTTGTATAATAATTAAGTGGATTATTTTAATTGAGGGTTTTTAATTAAATGAAAAAACTATATTTTTAATTATTATTTGTTTATTTAAATATTTTATAGGAAAGAGAAAGATAATGGTGGTTATTATACTAATTAATGGTTAAATGTGGGTGTGAAAGTTTTGAAGGGGTTGTGTCACTTTTTTATATTTTATGCTTCTCACCTTTTCTTCGTATGTTTTTGTATTCGGATGAATTTAGAGAATTAGAGATTGTTAAAGATTACTTTAGAGATTCGCATCCTATATCTAAGATTTCAAGTTAAAGGGGTGAGTGAATAATCTTATTTTTAAGTCTAGGATATATGTTGGGTAATAAGATTGATTTTGAATCTCTTTATTTGTAGTATATGTTGTATGATAAAATAATCTTAATCTTTGATCTTAACTTGTGTTTTGTATTCTATGTGATTTTTTGGTATTTTAATTGATATTGTTCATCGATATGTACGTTAATTGTACGTAATTTACTAAACTAGTGAATCTTGAATTGTTTATGGATTCTTCTAGGAACCTTAAAAAAAATGTATTGAGTTAATAAGAGGAGATTATGATGTTTATGTATCAATGAGTAATTGTTGGCTTATAAATGTGTATTTCAACCTTTGAAATATTTTTTTCTGATTGAAATTATGAATGGGATGAATTGCATGTGTTGTATGAATTTTGCACTTCTTCAAAATTGAAGTTTCTAGGGTGGTATTGGGCACACTTTTGGCCATTAGGCGTGAGAGTGGTTGAGAGCACAATTTACTCTCTTTGCCACTCACATCAAGCGTGACCAACCGAGCATGAAAACTCAAGGGGATCCATGTGATGATCTCGCCAAGCATGAGCTTGGTTACGATAGGCGTGGACTTTCTAGATAGCAACGTGTGCTCTTTGTGTGAATCATGTCGAGTGTGGGGTACTATTGTCTATGCCACCTCGCAGCCTTGTTTATTCCTTATCTTATGAAATAATCGTCAATGATGAGTAATGCATGTGTTGGTTACTTTATTCAAGGAATGCTATATGTGATGCATATGTATTTGTGAGATATGCATGATTAAATGTTGCGAACTAATATTGGTAAATGACAAATCGATGTGTGTGGATCTTGTAAGGATTGTGCAACAAAAAGTCTAAACCAAGGCTTAGCATCATGTGAGCAATTGGTATTCATGAATGAATGTACATTGTTGGATGTGTAATTATGATAACATGATATTGCATCAAGTATTGTTTGACATGCATCATATGCATAAATGTTTTTGATGAGTATGATATGAAATATGTTGTTAGAAAAGGTCCCTTTGTGTAAAAACATTGAGATTCATGACCTTGGAAACAACTGAGTTTGAGAGCTTTAGTTCTACTTATTTATGTGCATGAGGTGAATCTTGCGTAACACCATTGTCCCGACGAGTTTTGGTATATCTCCTCCTAATGTAGAGTGTAATGAGAGTATGACACAACATATTCTCCTAAGCTACTCTGTGTGCCTTTAGACAAGATAAATTGATGTGATTTTACAGGTGTCACATGCATATACATATTGAAGTTCGTGTCAATTGCATTATATGTATTGATGTGTAATTATGTGTTTTGGGTTTTATACTCTGATAGGATGTGATATGAGGACATAGTTAAGATTTGAGTTTTTGCTATTTAATTATTTTTAGGACATAATGTTAGACTTCATTTGATGTTATTTATCTTCATTAGACATTCATGTTGGAGTAGCATTTGTTCTAGTTGTTATGTGATATTCTTCTTTATTCTTCTTGATGAATTATTTTTATTCAGTTAACTTCTCTTTTATGAATTATGTTCTCGAATTTCAATTTATATGCTTATGGTAACATGTGGAGTAGAGGATGTTACATAATATGTTAGGTTGAGTTGAATTTTTATATATTTTTTAAAATTTAAACTGAACCAATATGATCATTAACAAGTTAGATTAACTTGATTCAATCATATTTGACTATTTTAAATTATTTTTAATTTTTTTATAAATGAATTTTTTCTTTTTAATAGTAAATCAATTTTTACATGTACAAACTCTACTTATATAATACAAGAGATTTCTATTAAACACATTCAAGAATATAAGATTAGTACTTTTTAATTTAATATATATATATACTAGTAGGATTAGATTAGGTTTGAAAATCAAATTTTATTATCTAATTTAACCATATTTGAGTTTCATGATTGAATTAAAATTGATCTAAAATATCAAAATATATATATAGACTCTTTTTTTTATCTTTTTATATTTGAATTAACTTGATCCTCTTAAAATAATGAGGAATTTTATAACATGATTTTAGATTAATTTTTTACCAACTCAATACTTAAAATTAATATTATATTCATTTATATAAAAATAACGAAATTCAATTGATGTTCCTATCCAAAAGGTTCTAAACATAATAAAATTCGTGTAAAAAATAAATCTCATAAATAATTAAAAAATATAAAATTAAATAAAACATTATTAAGTTTTTTTAAACAAGGTTTTTAAATATAAGAATTCCTTCGTGCAAAGTAAATAAGTCTTATATTTTTTTTATACCATGCCATCGAGAAATGTCTACTGATTTCGCTTAAAATTAGACAATCCTCTAATAATATAGTAAAAAAAAATTAAATATAAAAATTACTCTGCAAGAAGTTATGACCTAACTAACATGTTGTTTTTGCCCACTTGTAAGGGGTAAAAAAAAAACAAAAATTTTATCCGCTGAATCTGAAGAAAACAAAGTTGCGTTGCGTTGCAAAGCAGGGTGCGTCATACTCATTCCAACACCCAGCCATGCAACTCCTGCAAACCTCTTATCTCTTCACTTTCCCTAAACCCCTAAACCCTACCCTCCCCCTTCTCCACCACCGTCCTCCGCCACTCCTCCACCGTCCCCTCCTCCTCCATCCCCGCGCCAAATCCACCACCTCCGACGAGTTCCCCGTCGACGATGCCTTCCTCGAGAGCTTCGGGCCCAAAGACAAAGAAACCGAGGACGAGGCCCGCCGCCGCAACTGGATCGAGCGCGGGTGGGCCCCGTGGGAGGAAATCCTCACTCCGGAGGCCGATTTCGCGCGCAAGAGCCTCAACGAAGGCGAAGAGGTTCCGCTTCGCTCTCCCGAAGCCATCGAAGCCTTCAAAATGCTGAACCCTAACTACCGCAAGAAGAAGCGCGAGGAGATGGGGCTCACGGAGGAGGAGTACTCCGCCAAGCAGTTCGAGATCAAGGGCGAGATTCCCGAGCCGCTCGTCACCTCTTGGTCGGGGCCGCTCGTGGTCCGCCTCGTGCCGCCGCGCGACTGGCCGCCGCGTGGGTGGCGCGTGGACCGGAAGGAGCTGGCGTTCATCCGCGAGGCGCACAGGATGCAGGCGAGGAGGGTGCGGTTGGAGGAGGTGGAGAGTGGAGTGAGGACTGAGACTGATGACGTGTGTTTGGATAGGTATAAGGTGTTTCTGAAGCAGTATAAGGAGTGGGTGGAGGCTAATAAGGATAGATTGGAGGAAGAGTCTTATAAGGTTTCGATTTCGCATCATAACTATTATGCTACTACTACTTTACCTTAGCCATGATTGAATAAACATCTTTGGGAAACACTTTTAGGATAAAAAAAATAGGAAGAAGAAATAACATTAAGTTTTTTTATAAGTTAAAACTAGTTTATGTTCTAGTTTAAGATAAGTTTTTGGAGAAGCCGAAATAAGAGAGTTTTTATTCACTGACTTATGCATAAATTTATTTGATCCTGTAGAGAGGCCTATTTCATTTTTCTTTTTTTTATTTAATTTTGTTAGAAGTGTTTACGAAGAAATTTATCCGACTAGAGTTGTAGTTTCATTGGATTTAGAATATGTATTCTTATATATTTATTTGACTTTTTATTTTTTTAATTACAAAAACGTTGGATTTGACTCCTCTAAATTGAGAGTGGAGTGCACTTCAAAAGGTACATTGTAATAATAATCGTTATTTCGAAAGTTAATGTTGGAATTGTAATTAACTTTGGAGTTTGTTATTTATGTATTTAATTCTCAGAAGATAAAGGGCAAGAGTAATCATTAATTAGAAAATTATAGTTGAAATTGTAATTATCTTTAGAGTTTATTATATATTTATTTGATTTGATTTTATCACAATTTTCAATCAATTTTTCTTCTTTTTTCTTATCCTGCACAATATATATATATATATATATATATATATATATATAT